TATTTCATTTCTCTAAAATTTACATAATAAGTTTATTACGAAATGATTTATTTAATTAAATTAAATTAGTTTTTGATAAAAAATTGAATCTTTCAAATGATTCACTGATTATTCAATATTTAATTTATTTATATTCAACTAATTAGAAAATAAATTTGTATATTAGTGGCTTTAAAAATTATAAATAATTGCTTCTTAATATCTAAATTTAATGCCTGATCTAAAATCTTAAGAGCATCATAAAATTAAAAATATTATTAATCTTTAATTAATATGTTCTTACTTTTTTTAATATCATTCTTCTACTTTTTCTTACTATTATTATTTTAATTCCCAATAATTGGATTCTTCTATGGTTAATAAAATATTGATTCTCATTTAGTAAAATCTTAATTTTATTTATTTACACTAAATTAAAACAATGAATTTAATGGAACAATAGATAGTTGTATTTGAGAATAGTATTAATAATTTTGATATCAAATCTATACAATATATTATATCTGAGAGGAATCATTCACTTCATCAAAATAAGCAAGACCTAAGCAATAAAGAGAAATCTTAAATATTTTAGCATACGAATTTACAAAATCATCTTATTTTTAGTTAATCCTTTATAATTACTCTGTTTAACAACATTAATTTTTTTAGTAAGTAGAGGAATGCAAATTACAGAATTGGAATACCAAACATCCACAAAATATCAACATTCTTAAATAGTAAATACAAACCAGTTGAGAATATAGTAATTGAATAATATCCTTGAGGAAAATAATAATTAAAAATTAGTCTAAGTGAAATTATTAGCAAAATCAAAATAACTATGTTAACTGAACTCTATATGTATAAGTCGAAAATAAATTAAAAACAATTTTCATTCATTTTTGAATTAATTTTAAAATCCTTTTAAGTAAGTGTAAACAAAACGTTATTAAAAAGTAATTGTGTATTATATGAATACTATCAAGTTGATTTAATCACTGAAATAATGTTCATACATATATGCAATATAAAAAATTAGCATAAAATATGAGATAGCGAAGCATATTCTATATGAATAAGAAGTTAGAATGTCATCTCCTTCTTTATTGAATACTAAATGATAAAGTTTTGATAGAAAATGGAATATAGTTATCAATATTGAGGCAATAAAAAATTCAATGGCTGCTAGTAGTAAGTCTTAAATAAATTTTTTTCTTTAAGGTTAATTTATCATTAATTTTCAATATTGTTTTATTATTATTCTTGTAAATTTAATTAATCTTATTTTAAATAAAAATTATG